ATGTCTTAAAACAACAACGTATACAGGTTTTAAAGTAGAACGTATCTAATCGAACACATAATTGGATATTTAAACTTTTTCTCTGAAAGTGAAACTTAATATCTGTTAAAGGTATCGAGTCGTTTCTTATTTTTTGATCAAAATCAAATTGCTTAATATACTATGTCATGGGTGGTATACATCGGTCGAAATACAGCGAGGGTCAAGCCTGCTAATTATATAATCATAACTTATTTTTATGAATGTTTATATCAAATCACATATATCAATTGGAGATGAGAGGAAACAATACACTTTTGATTAAAAGTGTACTTTCATGTAAAGTGTTTATAGTACGGTGCTACAAAGGAAGACTTTGAACAAGCAAGATATCCAGACCAGATGATCTGCTAATTGTTCAGAGCAAAGACAAACAATGGTATCAGCATCTGTTTTGTAGAATGCTAATCTTCAATAGCTGGACAGTTATTGTTTGCATTTGTTGTAATAAGTTCCTCGTCCATCATGGCAACGCGTCTATCCTCTGTCACCGGCGGATTGTAGCTTCACAGATAATCGGGGATGCAGACTCTGCAGAGGGTGGCCACGGGTCACTCAATTATCCTTAGGGTGATCTTACATTTTAGGGGTAAAAAAGTTAACAAAATAAAGACTTATAGGCAAGAGGAAGCTCATCCATCTGCATTTTCATTAACAAAGTAAACAGCAGAATCGAAGTCTGCAAATATACCCGGTAGACAATTGAAGGTAAAAAGCTTGATATCGGATACTACAATATGTCATATTATAAAGTTTGGAGTGATTGATTATTCATTAGGTGTACACTTCTGTGCAATTTATTCAAATTGGTTTCACTACCTTCAATAGTGTACTTTTGTCACACATATTAACCATAGTACCTTGATTATAGTCCAATTCAGCTTTTTAACAATAGTATGCGTACATGCCAACGTAAGCTTACGCTTGATTTGTTGCGAAGTTGTCATGATTTCTATTCTTAACATTGCAGCATGATTATGCCAATTGCTAGCCGATTAGTTTGTAATGCAAATTGCGTTGTCTTCATGCTTAACTAAGTAGATGATTGGACGAAAATCCTAATCCTATGTCCCACAATTGAAATAAATATTACAGTCTATACAATTGTACCTTTGTTTTCAAGTGTGCGTACTGTCCACAAAAGCCTTTTACTGTCGCATTTCGTTCAGGTGAAAGTGTATAACATTAGCATATGAAATACTATCTAAATATATGGCAACAATTTGCTGTAGCCAAATGGACTGGACATGAACAGCAGATATTTTCAGAACTCTAATTGCAAAAGGCAAAACAATTTCCTGTCCCTACAAAACTCGACAATCTCTGTTACATTAGGGCGTCACGGCGGCAAATAATGGGATTAATGGTCCTGATGAGAATCCCTCAGGATAATACAGAATTATGCCCAGTTTGCTAACTGCTGAATTAAACGATACATGCTGCAACCAGTGAAATGGTATTTATGTTATTGATATATTGGTTTGTTTAAATAACTGTGTGAAGTGCTAGGACCTTTTGTTTCCATTTCCTTATTACGATATATATTTGCATAATCGATACATCTTAACCCCAGGGGATAATACTAATAGTGCGTAATACGTTTATTCAAATATGGTTTGTTGTGTAGAAAAACATTGTTTGGTTCTTTAAATTCATGAATCCGTCATACTGTGTCACGTGTCCTCCCTACGCAAGGTCACAATGAGGTTACTTTTTTCCCACTGGTGTGTTTAATCATAATTTACTTTTAGTAATTTATCAAAAAAGTAACAATTATGACAGTTTTTTAAAACAATACAAACGCAGGTTATGTGTTTATGAACCATATTGATTGACCAATCTATGTTGACATGACCAATGAGTCTTATAGTCATACTTTTTGAAATACCTATTGATATGGCAAGGGAAAGTTCGTGCAAAATAATGTTTGACATTTTAATTAATGAAGGCTGCGACATGTGGTGCGGGGCAGTCTTGTATTTCCGGACTCGCCTCCATGTTGTGTGTATGTATGTTCATGATGTTTTCTCTGTTGTTTTTGTTCTTAATCCTGTCTTTTTGAGTACGCGTTATGTAAAAAACATCAGATTCACTAATCTATGTATTCAATCTGTCTGTACTCTTTACATTTCTGATTTTCTGGTTAGTACACAAATACTTTAAGTCAATGAAAAAACCCAATGCCAGTGTGTCTTCACTGTTTAACAGCAGAACCTCGATTATGAGTCAATATTCGCATGACTGATCTAATGTATATTGATGTTATGAATAAAGACGAAGTATGACTGGTTTCCTTTCCTGTTTTGACACCATTTTTGTTGGTCAAGTAATGTTCTTTATCTAGGGATATGTTTATTTTACATACCTTTCATATAGCTTTTTTATGTAACGCGATTCGTTACAGGCATGGATTTTACTGTGTCAGTTTGATGGGTTTTAATTGCAAAACGCTTTTAATCAGCTGCCCATCACACTGCTTGAAACAACACATTCATACACACTTTTGACATCTAACACATGACATGGCAATTTAAGAACAGGAATTTGTTTGATGAAACAACCATGCGAAATATGTTTTCTCTAGTTAACGTGACATCTAATACGTATATATGTTTATAAAGCCGAGTCAATCTTGACGGTGACTGGAGACGCATTCACAAAACAACTTGTTTTCAAAAGGAGCAGGTTTCATTGAAATTTCAATTTTGTGGAAAATGTTTCGACTAAACGGAAATGAAACATGCTTTCAGTAAACCAAAAACTGATACATCAAAGTAGTTCAAACGAACAAATCAACATAACTCAACCATGTTGCAAAAATCCAATTTTCTCAAAAGTAAATTGGGCATAATTTTGAACATTAAAAAATTCATTTTAGGCAGTCTGCGGTCCGCCTACCGAGAAACGTTTTCATTAATTCTTATTTTAACGATTTTATCCTTCTTTATAACGGGCTTACATGTTCTATCGGGCCTCCAGGGCGATCAAAAAGCGTCTATATATAATGTCAACCGCTCAATATAATTTTTGTCCACATGATGGTTCTTCTATGTAAGAAGAGCAAGACAGGCGAATAATTCGATTAGTTATTTCCCACCAGTTAGGAGATAGCCTTGTTATACACTTGATGGATATATTCAGATGATAGAATGACGGGCGTTTTGTAGAAATGTCAAATACGGTGTTATAGTTCGCACGATTTGAATTCATAATCTAGAGCTTTGATCATGACTATGTCCTCTGCGCGGCTACTCGCCTTTGAAGGAGTTAAAGTGGAATTATTTTTCTGCGCGGATTACTATTTACTGTTACAGCCCGCGTAATAATCTATCGTTCAATTTATCATGTATCAATCTAGACAGAAGCTGTCATGGCTGATGTGTGATAAATCCTGACATTTACAACCTCAAGACAGTTTCACGTCATCTAGTGGCTACCGAAACATCTAAAACAGCCCCCGAATTAGGGTCCAGTTAGTCGCCTGCTACCTCGGACCCGCACTGTCTTCGGTTTTAATTCAATTGTTCCAATTTCAATTAACTTAGATAACATGTAATGCTTGATTGCAAAAGTTATCGAATTTCTGAAGGGAAGTGCTGATTGAGCTGCTCCATGTTGCACGGAATAGAGATAAGTGTGGAAAACGTCAGTATAGAACTTCATAAACACCATGCATGTAAAAAAAACGCTGATATAAACATAAACGACTTTCTTAAAAGATTTAATTGAGTCGAAATAACAAAGATACCATATCAGCTATAATGATATGGTTTCCTAATTCTTGTCTTCGTACTTTTTTTCCGCTAGAACATGTGTGGACTTCACATGTAACCGCGTAGGTTCCGTCACGGTTTTTTTGTTTCTGTTATTTGTTTTTGCAACACTAATATTGTTTAAAAAATAGATGGGATGGGGTTTTTGATGTTAAAAAAAAGTAATTACATGTCTTTTCTTATGTGATGAACGCATCTTCTATGGTCTTCCATATTTAAAAGTGGGCTACATATAAATTTAACTTTTAATATAAATGAAAACAAAATTAAATGCTGTATCTACTTTTCTGTGTGCTGTTAATGATATCTTAAATGTAAAATATTGATTTTGATATTGTTAACTTGTTGGGTGTAGTACATGCATGTTAAAACTTATGTAAATTTTATTGACTTTAATTTATTTCACTTTGATGTGGATTGGTTTCATTTGAAATATAATGAGTATGCGGCTACGTCACATAGAATTGAATAGAATTAAAATCATTCAGCTCAACAACAAAGCGACTAAAATATCAAAGAATTAAATAGAAATTCCTAAGTCGTCCCTTTAACTTTTAACAAATTCATCTTTTTTTACACCATGATCAGTCTATGACAAAATCCTATATAAGCAATGGTATATTAAGTGTGTATTAGATATATACACATATTAATCTATATATATATATATTAATTAGTCAATCATAAAGTAACCAAGCAATACCTTCATTGTTTGTGATTACTTTAATTAAGTGTCGGGGGTATTATTCCACGCCTGGTCCGGTGGTGCTTGGGTACAGATTATCATTGAAGGCGGATGAAATAATTAACGATAACCTCAAAATACGCTGCAAATTACGATTTGATTTTCCGACTTTATGAAACTAAATCCCCTTACACAAGTTTGGCTGCCTGTGAATAGCGCGGTGAAGTTTTGATCTCCGAATCCATTGAATTGGAACACCAATGCAAAAGTTTGATGAAAGCAACAGTAAATTTTCCAAAGTGTCCTTACGCAAGTCAGACAGACTGCGAGGGTGAGCGGTATAAAAGCTATTGTATACGACCAAAATATTTGTCAGGTCCGAGGTTATTTATGCGAAATTTATTACCAGGATACAAAATTGATGCATTTTTCATCACGGCTTAATTCAGAATAATCGGCAGTGGATTGTATTCCTCAGTTGTATTTGGTTTCTCTCTTTTCAGGTTGAATTTCTATTCTCCCGAGTATAGAAGCTGACAGGTGATTGGTGCATAATTAGTCACATGACCCATCGACAGGTCGTCTGCTGTTCCGGCGATGATTTGAACCCTCATAATATGTCGTATGGATTGGAGAATGAATTAACTAGCAGAGATAGAGACATGCACAAAACAGCAGCATACTACAACCACGCGCCGCCATACCAGGCGTATTTTCCTGTCGAAAATGGATACCCTTCCTTTGACGCACCGTATGGGCATCCGAGCCCTTCTCCACCTGGTGGAGACTTCTATCCGTGTTCTCTTCAGAGTTCCCATAATCCTTCACATGGATCCGAATATATTCCCACCCAGGCACATTATCCGGGTAACGAACCGTACCCTAACGGCCACAGCCTACCGACTGTCTCCTGTCCCCCCGGGGCACCAAACACCGAGTCAGCAATTCCTCGAAAACAAAGTGAGATTTATCCATGGATGAAGGATTCTAGACAAAATTCAAAACAACGTCAACAACAGCAAAATCAGCAGAATCAGCCACAACAACAGAATCCACAACAACAACAACAGCAACAACCAGCAACACAGTCTTCACAACAATCTCAGACAACTCCGCCCCAGCAACAACAGCAACAACAGTCACAAGCTCAATCTCAGTCACAGTTATCAGGTGAGAACCTTATTTCATTTTTTTTTGTAATCCACGTTGACAGCTCACCTATAAGTTTGTCTACGTTGATTTTGAATCTAAATGTGTTCTAGTGTGCTGTGCCTGTATATGCTGGCGGTGTTGATGTACGGCATATAAATACCTAACTAATTAAGCTAATTAACCAAACAGACGCACGTGCAAACTAGTTCTACAATATTTTCACAAATTATGAATTCTCTCAGTTATGTATTTTCCTTTTAGATCAACATAATCAGATGTAAAACCTATTTAGCTTTTATCATATATTTATAAATACATATAATATCAAAATTACATTAGATGTAACGTACTTCCTCGATATGTCTGAGAGCAGAAACGTTATTTGACGAATTTTCAGTACGAGGTGCTGCAATAATTTGTACAATAGTATAGATAATCATAATTAAATAATGTTCTATTCCCATTTCCCATTAAAACCGTTCCCTTGTTTAAAATCCTAACATTTACCAAATTTTGTTCAAATATAAAACCTTATGAGAGAAATATATCAGTATAAAAGAAATATACACCGTTTAAAACGTTCACTCTTATCCATGATGACCGAGTAATCTCCGTAAACGAAGCAGAAGTGAGGAAGTGTAGGGGATGTCGGACCAGGCTAGGCGATGTTGATAGATGACCCTTCCGACGTTTTGTGGCAATAAACTTGGACTATTAACACGGCAATGAAGTGTACAGTTTAAACCTGTCCGACACGAGATTTACAGGGTGAGGGAGAGTGATGGATTAAAACTGTGATATATAGACACTGTGGTTGGCATGAGAATCGGTGGCTGCCATGGAAATGCTCATCTCAGTGGTAACTTAGAATTGCACAATATACACTTAAAACATTGCGCTATGAGAAGCTTATCACGAAAGTGTTAGTTTTATGATAAAAATACTCTTCTAATAATATCAATAATTCATATTTTTATATAGTGTGATATGTGGATATATATGTACTATTGTGTAATAGTTTTTATAAATTATATATGTCTATCAATATAATTATGTCACACAGTACGTGATACATTTGGAGAGTTTAAATCAGAAAAATACAAAATCACTTAACAAATCACAATGCCATCATAATGTTTTGGTTTGTCAGCAAAACGATCAACAATACCTAGCATCGTAAAGTGCAATGTCAAAATTGTAATGTAATTATGCTATTGTTATATAAGGTAAAATTAAGTCATAGTAATATTTTTAACAGCATTTTATTAAACAATTGGTAGAACAAATATAAATAAAGTATATGCAAAAGGATTTGGCTTAGAGCTTATGTTAAACCAGATTTATGGTTTTAATAATGCACAATGTATAAATATTAATATAAATGTTTAAATTCCCTGATTTGGTATCACTATTTTTGTTTGCAAATATATGTGCAACATATTTCTACATATCAATCATCTAATTGGCACATTAATTAAATGGATATAAATGTAATAGTGTTGATTACACAGATGTCTTTACTAATTAATAGGTCGTTTAAAATTGAACTTACAGCAGTAAGAAAGTACATATGACATGGATGTCGATAACAAATTAATTATAATCAATCTTGATAAAACAAGTTTAAACGTTATGTGGATATTATTCAAGTAGCGTAATGCATTTGTGAATCTGTCATTAACTTTTTTATTAATATAATGTCATATATGGAGGTTTATTTTGCTCGATGAATAGTTATAGAATTATCTGTGTATTGTACATTAACGAAATAAATTAACAGGTTGTTTAGCCCATATTTTATAGTTGTGATAGGTAAACAAAGTAAATAGTTAACGAATGGATACACAAACAAGCTTACACCTATGAATACACAGAAAATATCAGAGGTTTGCTTTTACCTCCGCAAACATTCATTTTATAGCTGATAATGCATCCAGGCGTTGATTAATGAATATGAATAAATCTCTACATTCACAAAAAAATTAACCATTCCTTGAGTAATTTAACAGTACTACTATACCGTATTTGTGATTATGGTTTTGGTGTATTTTTTTCCCCCGATATCTTAATTATCCTTTTTTCAGTTACTTTTCTATTTTCATTTATTTTGCTTTTATATATTACGCTGGTTAAGATTATAAAGGCATTGGTTGTTCTTTTGAATTCGTAGCCAATACGAGGTCACTGTTGTCTAAGGTAAATTTATGTAAACATTTTTTGGATCACATGATAATTCCACAAACGCAGGTTATATTTTTCAATTTGGCTTAGACATCAACATGCAAAGTTATGCAAGATTATTAAGGATTCAAACATAAGCAACATTTGTCAATTGTTTAAGTCTTTATTTTGATAACTTAATGATAGAAATAGATATAATGGTAAATACCTTGTAATTTCTTATTAGGCTTTGTTTAAAATAAGTTAAATTATTTAAAACGTTAATGTTCTGAGAATATTTAAAAATCTTTTGAACCTTTTTGCGCTTAAGTAACTTATGGCGGTTTATAACACTTAATATTAAATAAGATATTATACTAATTTCAATGAATTGTGCATCTATACTGTAGGTTTGATATTGATGAAAGATTTATCATATTGATAATTACTCATCAACTTATTTTCATCAAATTCGTCATGTTTTTTTTCTTTTCTAACTCATTATTACTATCTCAAAAGCAGGAGAAATACACAATTTGTATCGGTATTATTCTGTTTATTAATTGTGTTCATTCAGGTATAACGACAGATTGACCACTTTGCCATTTCTAGTTGATTAAATCGATATGCCCAAACGTGTCAGGAAGCTACCATTAAAGGCTATTTAAATTGAAATCTTTCTGAACATCAAGCATTCCTATGGATCGTCACAAAAATGCAAATTTATGTATATATATATATATTAAGAAATCAGACTTTATCAATACAATTTAAAATTGTAAATGACTACTTATTTTTTCATGTTGAATCATGGCTTTATCTCAATAAATCCCTTTGATAAGAAACTTCATTTTTTATTAAGTATGTCCTCATCGGAGGGGCAACTGTTTTCTATATTTTATTACTCAGATATATGATAACAGTTGATTATCAATTACCACTCATATTGTGTTAAATATATATATAATGTTACCTATACAAATTTAATCCAGATATTTTTGACTTTGTTTTATGTAGTATATGTAAATGAATATATTTATAACATGAATGATATTCAGACCATTTTTGTTTGCAATATACAGTTTTTCATAGTAAGGTTACTGCTACCAACTCGATAAAATATTAACTACTAATAAAATATAAACTACTAATCAAATTAATATATGCCTTAAGTCAAACTGTCTGGCATTGATTTGAGGGATCGGCTTTTTTGGGATATATCTTTAACTGAAATATTTATACGGATAAATCATACCCAGATATATAAACAAAAAACATCAAAATCAAACAACGTTCTGGAGATCTATCAAAGGATTGTGGAAAACACATCAACGAAAGTTATTTTATTCATCAAAACGGTTGATGCTCGGCTTATATATAAAACAGTTTTTCGTACAAAAAAATATCTCTTTGAGAATAACTTGAAACATGATTTCATTTCAGAACCAACCAAAAGAGCCCGGACCGCCTACACAAGCGCCCAGCTGGTGGAACTGGAAAAGGAATTTCACTTTAACAGATATCTATGTCGACCAAGACGGATAGAAATGGCAGCCCTTCTGAATCTTACAGAACGACAAATCAAGATCTGGTTTCAGAACAGGAGAATGAAATTTAAAAAGGAACAGCGGCATAAATCGTCTGATAAATGCGGACGACTGGACGGTGGTAATATGTCCGGAACGGACAGTGATAGTCAAGGATCTCTGTCGGGAGGGCCGGACGGCCTGGGCAGTGATTGTGGTGGTAAACTTAGTCCGGACAGTCTAAATCACGGAAACGTGAACGGGCACGGAATCCAGTCAGGAATGGGATTATCTATTCACCAAGGAATGCCCCAACAACATTCGCCGCAGCTGCCCAGTCCTCAACCTCATCCCCACCCCAATCAGACTAATATTGGAGTAACGTCATACCCAGGTGAAAATATCATGAATCCATATCAACAGTATCAGCAGAAGCAGAGTCCCAATTCTCCATTAATGAAACCATCAATGTCCCCGAACTCCCATCATCAGAACGGCCCAAATATGAACATGCAAAATATGGGTCAACCTCATCAGCAGCAGCCTCCTCAACACCACCAACATCAGCAACATATGACGTCACACCAACAGTACCTACACGTGAGCCAGTCCGGCCAAGGTTATCACTCCGGTCACTATATGAATAACATATACCCGGATGTAAACTCCATGGAGGACACTGACCCTGGGGTCAACATGGGAGTTAACTCTATATACCCGTCCAGCATGCCTTGTGCGGTCAGTAGCGTCAATAACTGTTACTCTCAGGGCTACGACTACGTGCCAAAACTGACTCACCTGTAATTGGAACGCCATCACGGTATTTTTATAAGAATAAAATAAGTATTGATACAATTACAATATCATGTATTCAGATAGTGTGTATATCATAACATTTCAGGATAAAATAAATTGATCAATAATATTTCATTCTGTTGAATTCAGAATATTTTGAAAAGCCATAGCCTGAAAAACAGAAAAAAAATCAATTTATGTATGCAAATTAGAGCAGTTTAATATGTATTTTAGTATTACTGTTTTTATTGTATCGATACGTTTTACTTCTGTGGTACTCTGCTGGTAATATATCTCACCTATGAAGGTTTTTTGAAGTTAATAATTTCATAAGCTAAAAATACTAGATAGTTCAACCTTGTTTAACGAGAACAATTATTAGACTAAATCTACGGCGCTTTAGTATTTTTTTGTTATTATTACAAATATATGTAAAACCTATAAATCCCCTAATGATACGTTACTTGAAACCTAAAAGAGTGACATGATTTTTATTACAAAAATGCAAGATATAGTTATTTTTTCTTGATCTTCAGTTCAGTTTCAGTTAATAATTATGTTAAAAGCGATATCATCTATGTCAGGGAAATTAAAAATAAACGATGTCATCCTTATGTTGAAATGCTGCTGATTGATTATCTCACATATTTGAAATAAAAAAAAAAAATGTAATATATAGCACCTGGCTGATTCGAATCGAAATATTGGTTTGGTGATATAAGACGCACAGAGTGTCGATCATAAGAACCAAGAACCCGGTTAGGAGGTATTGAAACATAAATGTACTATAGAGTCTCCATAAAATAAGATAAAGAATATTTTTGATTAGGTCAGGAGTAATTTAAAAAAATGTATTTTTGTCAGAGATGGGGCTTATACGCACATAACAAGAAAATAAAACGCCAATTAGCCCATTCGGATTGGCTTCTTTTCTTCGTTTAATCTGCGTTATAGTTCAATTCCGAACGCTCTCTCATGTTTGGCATTTATGTACAAAATAAATGTGTTAAGTGATGATATTCGCCATTTTTAGATATCAAAATATTTTTTATTTTATATAAAAAGCACTCTTTTCCCCACTTGTTAGTATTTATGGGCTAAAGCCTATCTTTTCCTAAAAATCACAACCGATGATGAAATTATAATTATCACAGCGCATGGTATCTAAATGCACTGAACTGACCCTGTCAATTACATCAGATCGTACTATCCAGTACTATTTTTGACAATCTCGTGGCAGGATCCTTCTGTTGGATAGATACATGGCATGTTCAAGATATTCCACCACGAATGACCTCCGACACTAATCTTGTGTACCACAAATAAGAAATTAAAAGTATCAGTTTCTAAACCACAATTAAGTAATTAAAAGTTACATATGTAAATAAGTAATAAAAGCATCAGATCGGAAATAGACCAATTACGACACCTACTAGCTTATCATGTGGTCTGGATTTAGGGGAAGACATTGAAAGGTTTATCGCTTCTTGCACGAAATGGCCCCCACTCACACCATCTGCATCCGTCTTGTTTTGGCGGCAGATCTGGGAATGTGAAAAGTCAGAATCAAACATTAGGCGAATGAGTAGTGCATGCCGTAATATGAAAATGCCAAAATCTCTCTAACTATTTGTATATTTATGCTAGTAAATACTGTTAGAAATAAATGAAAAGTGTGTGTATTTAGTAAATGTTTTAAATGAAACAAAATAAATATTACTAGCTTGCTAATGTCAACATGTTTTTTTTTTAAATTGAAAAACCTCAAACACGTTTCATTTGTTCTATACATTTGCATGACTCTACAAATACATCTGCACAAGTAAGTATTCATATAAGATCACGACAGCTTGTTGTGATTATTTTCTTCTCATGTAGACTTTTCCACGGGGAAAATAATGAATAACTATCACAAAAACCGTCCAGCAATAGATAATTGTCTATGGTGTGTTTGGCACGGTGAACAGTCTCTAACTGACGTTCCCACAGATTCAATTACTACATCTTCTACTATCCACATACCACAAAAGATCAACGTAAGTTGGTTTGAAGTGAAGCATTTCGACCAATGGGAATTGCCTGTGACATTTTTCATGATAGTGTTTCCTTCGGGCGATTTGTGATATTGATTGCAATTATTTGGCTGCCTCGTGATAACGGGGAACGTGATTGGATCAGCTTCCTTACTTAAGCCTCCTCCCAACACAAACAGGTTTATTGCGAACCTTTATCAATTTAGCACTAATTGTCTGTGGCCAATTCAAATCACTTTTCTGATTCTTTTGCATATTATGTCCTCTTTATATTAGGATCTCAGTTAAAAAAGACGTTTTCTTTAAACTTACCCCTTTAAAAGTAGTTTCGAAGTCTATCATTTGGTATTATTCTTTGGCCATATCTTTCATTTTTTTAAAAGATAAAAGAAAAAAATACCTTATTCATTTTTGATATATAATGATTATGGTTCAAAATTTATTAAAAAAAGATATCATTTTACTGTTAAATATTTTTTATCCCTGATCATAATTGCTTCCGTTTGATAATAAACATATGACTTTATTAAATACCAGAACCGCTTTAATTATTTCAATAAAAGCTATTGCCTCCCTGAAAATATATATGATACATTGGAAATTAGTTTAACCTTGTAGGCATCTGCGATCTTATCAGGTAAATTAGTTTCATCGGACCGTGTCACATAATTTATATATTTACCAATGGTGCTCGAGGCAAGTTTGTGTCAAATGAAAACTCAATTTGGAACTAATCAATGTGGCACACATTTATTGATAAAATTTTAAATCAGGAATTATACAACTGTGAAGAGTTTTATCTTTGAAATCTGACCTAAACAACCACGTGGTACGAAGAGGATCGGTCAGTTAAATGGAGCGCATTGAGTCCCACGTGCTGGTTACAAAGTCTTTGGTATTATGATATCCACTAGTGGTCATTAACATCAGTATGACGGCCGTCTGTCCAGACCTCAATATGTTTCAATTGATCTCCAATCTCGACATCTGTCATTGGGTGTTAATATTTATGGCCGTATCGTGTGCTGTTCCCTGGGTAGTGAATCTCTAAGGCACTCAAGCACGTCAGAGGTGGATATAGACTGTTATCAATATAAAGTGTGGTAAACAAATCATATATATAAGTAGAAGATATTTGTTGTGCGAGAACTTTGATTCATAATTTTCCACAATGACCGCAGTTACAGAGATCAATGATACTTCTGTTCAGGAAGGTTTCTTTTCTGATGATGATTAGTCTTCAACGAAATTTCATTAATTCAAGATTGGAGTTATATCTTTCGCCGATAACACCTTTCTAGGCTAACGATACAGGGATTATGAAATTCGCCCTAAAAGTATCTTGCCTGACGTACCTTTTACAAAGCATACAAAATACACGTGTTAAATGATAGAATGTATTTGCATGTATAAACGAGAAAGAAAAACTACTATAACATCATCAAAGGAGAACAAAACAAGACCTCACACCAAATTAAGTTTAAACTCGATGTGTGTACGATTTACGTGCTCTTCTACCAGATTTATCCTCCATACATCAACAATGACAATTCATATTACAAAAAAAGGTTAATCACATATTCAAAAGTGAATATTCATTTAGTTACTATTACAAATATCAAGCAAAATACCAAAAGCATTGTGTTAAATAAAAACATTTTTTGCATGATAAATATTATCTATGACAAGTTTATTGTCAGTTTAATATGATGACATCCGTAAAAGCAAGCATGCTAAATGCATTGTTCAAAGAATATCTACCTGTGTTTGCCGTGTATGCAACATAATTGGAAATAAAAGTATCATTGTGTATATCATTACCTATCGAAAGTCGTAAGGTTAAATACTGGTTGTTGTATGGCATCGAGGGATTATATCTTTAGACGGAGATTCCAGTGTATTTATTCATTGCTTACGGCACAATTAATGACGTAAAAGGGTAAAGACAACACTGTTGTTGTATAGCTATTTTTTATAAGTATGGTTGCGTAAATACATGTAATTTGTTACTTTGTCTAATATACCCTGTTTTACGAGAATACATGTATATTGTTTCATTTGTTTTGAATATGCAGAAAGCATTGTAAGTGTGTATTTTCAATTGCCTGATATTGTTTGCATTTTTGATAGTGTGTGTCGAATGAAAACTGAAAGCTTAATTATAGTCACACTATGTCGTTATCATGTCGTTCTCACAGCCAAAATCAGAAAGTATCTTGGCAATCATAGCTATGTTATGATGTAGAGCCAAAATAATTGTGCATAAGCATTTTTGGCAATATTAAATTATTGCACCGTCTGTAATAGCACTTTTCAGAAAGACGATAAAAATACCAACGATATAAGTAATCATAGTTAACGTTGTTGCAAAAATGCGTATATTCCATATTATGATAATAAGTGTCATTTATGATATCATTTTTAGACAATGGGTAAAATGTGCGAATGAGGTGTAACGTATTTCATATTGACCTGCTGGATACCATATCTTTAAAACCAAATTTACCAAATTTGACATATAAAAAATCATAATCAAATAATAACTTACTCAAAATATTCATAATTCTGAAAGGAAAATCTTGATGTAAGCTTTCATACAAATTCATCATAAAGCTGACAAATTTTTGGGAGTAGTATTTGCTCCTTTATTAAATATGTCAGATTCAAATTCAACTGCAATATGTCAAATATAAGACCATATTCCTTAGCAAATGTATAGCTGTCTCATTGAGTAAGCATATACTTCTAAATTGGGACGATATATGATGACAGCTAGTATTTGTAGTAATATGAACTCGATAGGGTTGCCTATAGTTAGCCTAGACGCATGTTTCTAGTTATCAAAACATTTGTATGTAAGTATTTAAATAATGTTGTGAACTATTTTAGTGTTTAATGCTCAATGTTGAAATGATGTACAATGACTTTTAAATGAGAAATAAATACATTTTCAAAGTATGGAGTGGTTTAATGTATTTTATTTAAAGAACGTTACCGTAAAATCTTTGTAAACAGTCCCGTGGTTGCCATTAGAGGAAAAAATAGAAAGGTATTAAAAACGTGACATATTATCTGTCTAAATATATTTTTCCAAAATAAGGAGGTTTTGCTATATGCTTCTTTTAAA